CGCCGCTGCTCGACTTGTGCTTTTTCAGCAGCTGCGTGATTTTCTCGTCGTCAGAGTTCGGGTCCAGGGGCTTGTTGTAATCGTCGTCGTCCTCCTCGTTCTCCGAAGTCCCCTTGAGCCGCTCGGTCTCCGAGTCCTGCTTCTTCTTGGCGGTGGCCATCTCAGCCGCGTGCTTCTTCCTCCACTTGGTCCGGCGGTTCTGGAACCAGACCTGAGCTCCGAGAGAGGGGAGGGCAGAGGAGAGGAGGGAAGAGAGGCAGGGCCGGGGCGAATTGAGCGCCGGAAGACCCAGGCTCCCACTTCGCCACCCTCTTTTGCCGTCGTCCCCTGCCCCTCCCCGGGGGTCCAGGCGTCAAAGTCAGACTGGTGGCCTCACTAACCCACCGCCGTTGCCATAGCGATAGTAACACAAGAGCATTGGGGCCGCCAGTAAGCCATTTCTCCAAAAGAGTGAAAACAAGAGTTGGGACGAGTTTCCCTAAAAATAAACTTGCTTTCTTACATTCCAACTGGAAACGGAAAACTTGCTCAGTTTTCCGGCAGTGGCAGATTTTAGTCCTTAACTGTATTCGTAGATTAAGAAGTTTCAAACAACAAGAGTGCCCCCATAACGTGTACAGAAGAGCACAGTGTTAAATCCAATTATCTCTACTGTGTTTCTCACTTTCTGAGCACTTGACTGTTCACTTATTTAAGGCCTGAACCCCCACTAACTTTGTTGGTCAATCCCCCCCTCTCCTTAAGATATCTGCTCCGAAGTTTTCTGGTAAAATGACAACTTCAATTTAGTCATAGCAACCCACACAGAGGCATGCAAATATTTAACCGCTCAGTCAGAATTATTACAGTGGGGCTGGTGCTGAGTGTCTTTCCCCGTCCTCCATGTTGCTCATAAAACCAAAGTTAAAACAATGCTACTAGCTATTTCTAAATTGAAAGGTTGCCCATGACATTATTTTTTATTATGGTCTTGACTGTTCTTTCAAACATTAGTGTAATATTCCTCCCGACTAAGACATTCATTTGAAATACAAATAAGTTCACCTGTTCATGATGTTTGACATGGGTTTGACATGGGTCATCTTTAGAATCAGGAAATAAACAACCAATTTTCTAAACATTTTGAATTGCCCTCTTTTTATGCTCCTGATCTGTTATGTATTTTATCCAGGGAATTAGAATTGTTAAGAAAAGTGATTTTCTTTATATTGCTATAATAATTCACTTCTGGCCATATGGACATATTTATGGTGACAAATGAAGACCTCCAGATTAAGGTGGTAGTCACCCACTGCAAAATAATTTCAAATGTGATAGTTTTCTAATGGCCACATGAAAAATCTCCATTGAAATATACTATGTGAAAAAAAGAAATATATTGTGTGATGCTTGGCTAGCAGGGAAATAACTCTAAGTTACAGGCTTGAGGATATTGCTCTTTAGTGAGAAACAACATAGAAAGCAGACCCCTACACACACACACACACACACACACACACACACACACACACACACAAACAGTGTAACAAACTGAAATGGACAAAGAGAACACAGAAAACCAGTAAACCATCAGATGGAATTTACACAACAGGTTCAATCCCTTTATTTTGAGGGACAGATTTCTAAAATTTAATTCCCTAGAAATGAAGTAGACAACTCAATTATAAGCAAGGTGACATCTTACTTGCAAATTGTCATAAACTGCAGCATCTTAATTCTGTGGATAAACTTGCTTTAAGTAGAATTCAACCCTATAGTACACTGAAAATCTTGTCAGCTCCTTCGGAAAATTACTATTCCAAAACCATCATCTTCATCTAAGCCAAAAGCAAGTTTTATCAGTGTTAAGTTCCACTGTATTCATTTTACCTTTAATCTACAAATTAATAAAGAAGCACCGTCATGCTGATCTCCGTTAGGAAATCATATATCTAATGGAGCCTGAATTGACAAACAAAAGCTGGAGTGTCTTTACAAATAAAACAAATCAAGCTTTCTAATCGGCGCGATCTGTGCTATTTCCTTAATGCTTTTATTCTCAGATAAAGGCAAGTCTCCCCAGCACAGGCTGCAGTCTAGATTAGCCTAATTTCTAAGGCAAAGACTTGATTCCTTTTGTTCAACAGTTTGCCTCCAAAAGACCCCAGGGCCTGTGCGACCCCCAAACCTCTCCTCAGTTCCCCACTTCTCCCCAGGCTCCTCGGAGCGCAGCCCCACCTCCATCCGGATTGTTAGTTTGGGGAAGAGGGAAAATACAGGAGCGTGCGCGTGAACACACACACACACACACACACACACACACACACACACACACACACACACATGCGCACACAGGCACACACATACACACACATGCACATGTGCACGTCGGGGAACGCTATCCCTGGAGGTGTCAAAGGCCCACTCACCTTGACCTGACTCTCCGTCATCCCCAAAGAATAGGCCAAGCGAGCTCTCTCTGGCCCTGCCAAGTACTTCGTTTGTTCGAAGGTCTTCTCCAGGGCGAAGATCTGTTGGCCAGAGAATGTGGGTCTTGTGTGTTTTCTCTTCCCATCTTTGTCCAACAAAATGGATCCCTGATCTGCAAAAAACCGATATCATAACAAGGGAGGGAATGGACAAGCAGCTACAGTGCCCCATGGGGAAGGAGGGCGGGAATAAGGAGCGAATTAGCAAAGCTGTGTTTTGGTAGTATCCGTTTATTCGTGCCCAGCTCTTCCTTTTGCCAGCTCATACCCATTACTTTTGTCAAGGCCAGGTGAGGTTGGGGCAGCAGTAAATACTTTCTGCTTAACCACAGTGCCAAATAGCTCGGTAGGCCACTGCTAAGGAGTGCAGGGCTAAAATGGAACACACACCCTTATACTAAGCAGTAATGCATTGGAAAGGTCACCTTCGCCTCCTGGGTCAGTCCCTGTGAGCATGGAAGATAAGTAGTTTGGTATGAAGGTAACCAAGTTTTCATTTTATATTATAACCACCACCCCCCCGCCCTGTCAGTTCCCTAACCTGTGTTGGGCAACAAACGGCTCCTTGTGCTTTGCACACTTGAGAGCTAACAGGCCCCTAGTCTGAGGCCGCTGCCAGCTGGAGGAAGAGAGGACAGAGGGCCACAGCTTTTGGCGATACCTATATTCAACACTGATACATGTCCCTGACACCCCAATAACCCCGAGGAGTCACCTTCCGAAGAAAACCTCACTTGGTTCCCTCAGTTACTAAAGTTATTGCCACTAAGCCCCAAGTAAGGAGGTCCAGTGACTTGTACTAACTTAGGGAACTTGGTCACCGGCAAAGAACAGAGTGAGAAAAGGTTTTGAGCCTGGCCCTGGACGCCATCTGGGGGCTAGGAGCCTTCTAGGAGCTGTGGTCCACGACTACCCAGATCTTGGGACCATTGGCTTGACCCAGAAAAAGTCTTTGGGAGCTCCTTCTGTTACATGTCACATTTCTCCACCTCTCCTTTCTTGTGTTAGGCCACTGAGTGTCAAAATGCCTCTTCAATGAGCCCAGGTCCAACTTGCCCAGGACCCTGGGAAAGCCCAGGCCTCGCAGCACCTCCTCGCCCCAATCTGGGAACCACCAGCACGGCTTCAGCAGGTTAGCTGTGTACTGAGGGTGTGCCGCGGAGATGGCAAAACAAAACAAAACAAAACAAAAGCAAAAAACCGGGAGCTGGAGACATCAACGGAGGAGGTGTGCTTGCAAATGCCTGCTTTTCCTGGGGCGGTGGGTGGTTGACCTACCTACCCTCTCGGTTTGCAGAAAACACCAGCCAGGCTACTGAAGGAACGGTTAGCAGGCTCTGGTTAGCAAGAAAGAGCCTGAAAAACGGGGGTGCTGAGACCTTTTCCCGCTTTCCAACTCTAACCCAGAGCTGCTCAGTTTCAGGAACAGCCCAGACAAAAACTCGCCCACTGCGCTGCCTTCCTATCCAGACACTTGCTCTCCCGCGGAGCCGCGGCCTGCCTGAGACTTTAGGAGCTCAGGGAAGCGTGCATCCCTTGCTAGACGCCCAGGCCCAGACAACATTCTGCAGTTCTGGTACTATCCAACTACTGGGATGGCCAGGAGGCCCGGCCGAGCGACCCGCAGGCACACTAGGGTGCATTACCCAAGAGCAGGCATAGGAAGCA